TCACTGGGCCTGGGAATGGACACCAGAGGCCCATGTTGCGTCACTGGGCCCGGGAATGGACACCAGAAGCCCATGTTGTGTCACTGGCAATGCGGACTGGGGCAATGGTGACACCAGGCCCCGGGGCAGAGGTGCCATGTCCCTCCAGTTGGGAGCCCCAAGGTGGCCTCAGTCACGGGGTGACCACCACACGCAACATCCCAAAGCTTCGCCCAATTCTCATGGCCAACTCCATGCCCCAAACGCAGGGCTCCTCTTCCAGGAGCTGCAAACCTCAAAAGAAGGAAGGAAAAAGGGGAAAAATAATAAAAAAAGAGTTTACAATGATTTTACCTCCCCTGACGGGCTACAGAAAAACCTCTGTGCTTTTATTTTTGCTCATTCGAGTGGTTCTGACCTGCTCTATAATTACGTTACTTTCTACCTACTGTGCAGAGGCATTTCCACACAGCTCTGCCTCTCACAGCTTTCTCTCGGGTTCCTGTGACGCCGTCACTCAAAGGCTTTCAAACCAGCGATGTAGAAATCAAAAAGAAAAGGAAAATGGTTGGAGACGCAGGGAGAATAAGTGCCCCTGCCTTTCTCTCCCTCTCTCTTTCCTCAGTCCCACCCCCCTTCTCCAACCTCTATTTTTTTTCTTCCTTTTTTTTTTTTTTTAATACTTTATTCATTTAATCTCTCCAAGTGAGAGCGCGAGGCATAATGAAGGGTTGGGACAGATTATTAGGAGCTGTTGATTTTGAGGGGGAGGGAAGGGGGGAAAAAAAGCCGGAGAAGAGAAAGAGAGAAGATAATTTGACATTTACTCCGACTGATCTAAACTCATTCGGGTATATTTATGGCTTATAAAGTGTTTAGAGAGATTGAAAGGGGTTGAGGGAGGGCTGGGGGGGATGCAGCGCACAAGCGAGCGAGAAAACAAGATGGAAAAAAGCAAAAGCCTGGGGGAAGAAAAAAGGAGGATAATATTGACTTCAAAACAAGGTTCGTGCTTTCGACGGGCGCTCTGCTCCGAGGAAGTCGTCTCAGGCATCGCAGTAGCGCAGCCTTGAGTGGCTCTTGCCAAAGGGAGATTGAGCCCAAATGGGCACTGGGGAGCCCGATTTGGGGGACTTTTCTGGGGAAGAGACTTGTTTTAAAGCCAGAAGTTGGCCTTATTTTGAAGGTCTCTGCCGTACCAGGTCTGCCCAGCTTGGTGGAGCACCCTTCATCCCCACACCATCACCCTCCTCACGCAGCACCGCGGCGGCTCTGGCTCACAACCCCCCGGAGCCGCTTTGCCCGGAGCGGGGCGACGCCGGCCCCATCGGTGCTCACCTCACCAGCTCCTCGTTGTACAGCGAGCGCGGGGACTCGCGGGCCAGCACGTAGACCTGTCCCTTGAAGACGGCGAGGCGCACGCTGCCCTCCACGGCCTCCTGCGAGCGGCCGATGCAGAGCCGCACGAATTCGCACTCGGGGCTGTGCCAGAAGCCTGCGGGCAGGAGGCAGCGTTAGCGGGGCCGGTGGCCACACAAGACAGTCCTCACCCCACACCATGTCCTGGAAGGAAGGCCCTGGAGGAGCGTCGGGAATGGGGTCTGGGAGAGGGAGGCGGGGATCCGTGTGCCCGGGGGCCACGTGAAGCTATGGAGATCTCAAGTATGCCCCGTTGCCTTGATGTCCCTTAGTTTTCCCACGTGTGAAATGGGTTGAACACAAACGGATGCCCTTGTGGGGGCATTAAATGCCTCTGTATGACTCAGACTCCCAGGACACACCAGCCTCATGGAGAGCAGGGGGAGCTCGAGGGGGTCACCCCAGAGACCACGTCCTCCTCTAGGGTCCAAGTATCGGCACCCCGCATCCCTCTCCGTACCACGCTGGGAACGGAACCCCTGCCCTGCAACAGATCCTCCTGGATGGCCAACGGGACAGGACGGGGCCCCGGAGGCTCCCGCGCCTGGGATGGAGGCCCCCATCCCACTCCCACGCTCCCGTCCCCGCCGGAGCAGGCGGCTCCCGACAGGTGACCCAGCCCGGGGGGGCTGACCCTGGGGCCTTATCGGATCAGGGCACAGATGTCTCGGGCAGCCCCCAGGTAGGGTCACCTTCCCCAGCCCTTTCTAGGGTAACATGGCTCTGCTTTCCCCCCCGCTGCTGCGCAGGGAGCACCCGGGTCCTCTCCTGCTCGCGCCATGGGGCAGGTTTGACTCAGGTGGCTCAAAACGCGTCGTGTCCCGGCTCCCGGAGAGGCAGCCGCACGCACGGGCCAAGACAACGGCTTCGCCGGCATCCGGAGCGAAGCACCCGTCGCCTCCGCTCCATCCCGCAGCCGGGATGAGAGCGTGGAGGGGCCCGCGGCCCGGCCTGCCATTCCTGTGCACCGTCCTGTCACTAAGCAGGGTAATTAGCCACGGAGCCCTCGGAGACCCGGAATAAAGCCCAGGAGATGGAGAAGGAGATAGAGAGAAAGAGAGCCTATTCACCAGCCGCCAGTGATGCCGGAGTTTTATCTCTCTAATCTCTCTCCTGCTCTGCTCACACACAGGTGCCCTCTCACCTTTCCTTTCCCAGCTGCGCTTCGGGCTTGAGGCCCAAGCCATTAGAGAAACAAACAATTGCTTTTGTTGTTCCACCTCGGCCGGAGCTGGGCTGCAGCGACCCGGCCAGGCTCCCCCCGGCTCCCCCGGCCGGGACGCCCTCCCGGTCCACGCGGAGCCATCCCCACGGATGCCGCGTGCGTTTCCGCACACGCACGGGGGTTTTACAGCCTTCCCCGAGGGTCGGGTGTTGGGAGCAGCTGGGGACAGACGTCTCCTTCCAGGTGCTGCCCCATGGTCACCGTGGAGCCCATGGTCTCCGGATGAGGCTGGATGAACGCGGGCCTGTAGCGAGGGCTCCGATGGGGCAGCTCCCGAGCAGCTCTGCAGGGCAAGCAGCATCGCAGAGAGCCTGGCCACAAGCAGACAAATCCCTCTTTTTAGTAAATGCACCCAAAGTCCAACTCTGCAAACACCACTCTTGATTTAGGGCTGTTGCATCCCCATAGCAGGGGAAAAAAAATAAATGCAAGACACATTAAAATAATAACCAGCTACTTAAATCCTGACTCCGACAACTCCAGGTGTGAGGAAGCGCCTCCTCCTTCCTCGCCCCCCACTGCAAACAAATTCCCCACTTGAAGCGATCCGTCTTAATCACCTTCCCACTTTGTAGCTGCCATCCAGCTCTAATCGCTCCCAGCTGCAGCGCAGGCAGGGCCGGTGGGGGACAATGGCATTTAAACACCTGGCCCTACCTGCCAGCAGCCAGGAGCTCTCTTCAAAGCCATGTCTCCACAATGGGATCAGTCCGGATAGGGGGGAGATAAACACTAATTCTCTTAAAATCAGAGCCTAGTTACAATAATGAGGTGTTAAAGGAAGGAGAGTTTAAAGCCTGGCCTCCAGCGGCCACCCTTGGGTGGGAGGTGACCACAGGCGCCAGCGCTGCCTTTGAGCCTGTTTGCACTACTTGGGTTATTCCCTGTGTTCAGGCTGTCCTTAATGGGCTCTGTCCTGGCCAAAGCACCTGGATGCCGTCCTGATCAAACCCAAATTGGAACCCAAATCACAACTACATGCAAGCAGGTACACGTGGGCAGGAGCTTCTACCCTGTGCAAACCCCTCTCTGTGGGGCCCACGTCCAGGGACGCGGTGAGATGGTCTCAGCCCCACGGACGGGGCTTGCAGGCTCTGGTAGAAAGATCGGGGCCTCAGACATGCCCGAACGTTGCTTCAGTTGGGATCTAGATTCACGCACCGCGGCTCAGCAGTTAAACCATGGATGCACAAGACAGCACAACAAAAAAGGGGCATTTTTGGCCAGCCCACACAGCTGCATGTACAACACCACATCAAACACCCATGTGCAATATGCAAAACAACCTTAACTCTCTGCCGAGTCAAACCAGCTTCCAGCCTTCCGTCTTTGATGCTGTCCCGCACTCACGGCACCTGGTAGCTTCACAGCCCCACTTTCCCCTTTGCTGCTCTCCTCACCTTTCTAGCATAAACCAATCGTATCAATACCAGGGAAAAGCATGCTGCGGTTAGCAGCTTTCTTAACAAAAGCAGCAGAAAACACCCTCCGCCAGCGCGAATCAGCAGCTACAATCTGCCTTCCAACAGGAGCCGCGGCATGACTCAGGGCTGGCCTCGCTGGGGCTACGCGGAGGCTCTAGCAAACGCACCAGGAGCCAGATAAAAAACACTTCCCGTGCCCAAACCGGTTGTTACCGCAGGCTGAAGCAGCCGGGTGACCATCACAGCTGCTGCAGAGAGGGTACTGGCTAACAAGGGTAATCATTAGTTTCAATGCTGTAACGTTTGGTTTGGCGGGAGCCTTGTCGAACCCTGCGCGGAGCAGAGCTGCGATTCCTGCAGGAAAGGCAAAGTGCCGACAAACCCGGCGCTTTATTTTCTGTTCCGACAGCATTTGGAGCCACGGAAACAGAAGCCTTTTTGCTTACAAGAGGTGGGGGCGATAAACAAAAATACTATTGCCCAACCGGCTCTTTAATCTTGTGGCTTCACAAGAATCGGGTGTTTAGAAATAAACAAACAGGTTTAGACTTAAATGAGAGCAACAACAACAAAAAAAGGCAACACAGAACAAAGTCTAATAAAAATAGCCAGAGGCAGATGCAGCATCAGAGAGTGAATTAAAAGGGCCGTGATTCAAGAGCTTCTTTTCTGCGCTCAGCAGAAGGGGTAACTGTGACTTCCCTGGGGCCCAGCACCTCCTCTGCCCACCGTGCAGTCAGCTTGGCCACCCTGGCCATTGGAGCACTCGCCCTGCTGCAAACCCGTGGGGCAAAACCCCTGCACTGGAGCCCTTAAAATAAAGTTTAGGCAGCAAATGGGCTCCTGCATTAAGGGCCAGTGTGTGGTGCTGCATGTGTCCAAGGAAGCAGCAGCAGGTAACATCCCCCGAGAAGAAAGCTTAGAGGACAAGAACGCAGACATGAGGAACCAAGGCATCTAACTGTGGGGATTTCCATGGAAATACTGAATTAATCGTCCCTTGTGGGCACACGGAGCACAGTGCTGGGAGCAGAGGGCAGCCCAGTGTGTATTTGGGAGCAGGGCATGGGGGCTCTGAGCACTGCTGCAAGATTTAGGAGTGTCTCTTCCTCCAGTTTGGCATCACCGACTGACCCTGCTTTTCGGCAGGGAGAGGCTCCCAGGGTGACGGTGACCTCCCCGCTGGGGCTGCCCTTCCTGCCCAGCTCAGGGTGGCCCAGAGCGCAGCAGCCTCAGCCAGAACCGCTGTCCCCTCGGCAGGTGGTTCCCTGCAGTCCCCACACCATGAGCGCAGTGCAGAAATGAGCCGAGACCCTCCAAATTGAGCCCTTGCAGGCGGCTGAGCAGAGCCAAAGGGCAGCAGGAGAGGGTGAAGGGAAAGGGGCTTCACTGCTCTCCACAACCCCAGTGCCAACAGGTGTCCCTTGTCCTTCCTGCCTCCCAAGCAACATCTTGGCAGTGCCACCCGGGCACGGCCAAGCAGCATGAACGGAGCCACGGCCAGGCCAGCCCGGTGCTGGCGCAGGGCTGCCCGCTCGGGTTTGGTGCCGCGGCTCCCCGCACGCGGCGCCGGCGAAGCCGCAACGCGCAGTGCCCCTGTGTGGGCTGCGCGCCGCATAGCACGGCGTGCGCCACGCGCCGCTTCCAAACCCCTCCGCACCGGAACGCCGCGGCACGTCCAGCCCTCGTCGCTCTGGCGGGAGGGATCTGGGGGTCAGAAAAGTGCCAGGGTGGTGGCAGCGGCTGCCGGGCTGAGGGACACGCTGGGCTTATGCCAGAGCAGCGCGACTGATTCCAAGGCGAGATCCTGTCTCCAGCGCTGCAAGCGTTAGCGGAAGGGATGAAGTTCTTGCGACATGACAGGCTGGTTACAAGCAATGAGCCACAGAGGCGAGGGTGTAAATGGGAGGGTGTAAAAATCCCTGAGCTGGGATCAGTGCAAGTCCTGAAGCTGGGACCTTGGGGTACGTCCTCTGGATGCACCCGTAGAGCCACGGCTTCCCCAGCACCCCATCCATGGGTGCTGTGCTCCCAGGATGCCGGTGCCATCCCACGCTTGCAGCCCTTTGAGGCCAGCAGACCCTTTCCGTGTTCACGTGGACACAGCAGAAGCAGAGCCTGGTTGGAAAGCTGCCCCGTGTCACGGCACTCGGCGTGGGCAAGGCCAGCGGGGCTGGTGCTGGAGCAGAGGGAGCTCAGAGCAAGGACACAGCTCCAGCAGATGTGGGGGGAGATGAAGGCAGAGCAAATAACCACGTTTGGCACAGCCAGGTGTGCCAGGCCAGCCAAAGCTTTGCCAGGAACATCTCCCACCAGCGAGCCCTCTAGCATGGTGGCATCATTCCTTAAGGAAAATGTGGAGCCCCTTCAGGCAGGTAGGATCCTCCTGACACCAGCAAAGCCATTTTTTCCTCCTCCTACAAATAACCTGAAATCCAGACCTGCACTTCGTAGCCCTGGCCCATTACTACAAAGTGTAACTGACAAGTGAGGTCTGTGAGGTCTGCCACCGTCTGCAGCAACGGGGCTGGCGCAGGCACGAGGAGGAGGAGGAGGGCTGACGAAGGCTGCGGTGGCAGGGGACAGGCCGGAGGACAGTACGTACCGTTGTACACCAGCTCGGAGAACTTCAAGGCGAGACCCTGCTTGATTTTCCGCACTTCTCGGTCCATGGTGAAGGCCTCGATATCTAAATGCGCATGGTATAGGATCGTTCCCGCTGGGGTCTCATAGATACCTAGCCATTTTTCCAGGCAGGGGGAAAAGCAGAAAAAGAGAGAGAAACGAATGAGACCAAACCTGTCAGCAAATGACAAAAAATAATGACTTGGCTGACAGAAGGAGCTGTGGTCGAGCGCATTCAGTCCCAGCTTGCTGTAAAATGCATCTGTCATTATATTCATGCTGGGGCCGAGACAGTCCACTCCGCACCTTGCGGAGAAAATTTCTAGATTCCCCTCTTTGAAGAGGCACTCTGACGAGGCTAAATGACAGGGTTTGGGAACCGATCCCCCCACCGCTACGTGCCCAACGGTCTGCAGCTGAAAACCTGTAATTAAACGAACGATGCGGGGCACAGGCAAAGGGAGCGGGGCCGGAGCCACCGACGGGGATGAGCACGGCAGAAATGCGGATGCCCAGGGCTGCCGAGACCCCCGGCTTCCTCCCCATCCGCCCCCCGAGTCCGCCGGGCTGGGAAGGCACCTTGGTGGAGGGACATTTAATTTTCACAAGGGGGTGAAGCTCTTGGCAAGCCGGGGCAGGAGACCCACTCCTTTTGTTCCCACTGCTCGTGTCTTGTTCTCCACACAACACGCTTATTTCTTGCTTAAATATGGGCAAAAATCAGTAGCTGGAGACACAGGCGCCTGCAGCAGCCATCATCCATGATGCCCGCTGAGCTGGCACGGGGATAACCTGCCCGTTGCTGCCCTCCACCTTTGCATCCTCCACCCGTTGGGTCTTGCTAGATCATGCCACAGAGAAACCAGGCGTTCTCCTCCAAAACACAAAAATGCTGAATTCAGTGAGGCTAAAGCTGGAGAGAAAAGCCACTGCAGCGCTCATGCTGCAACAGTCTAGGGCTAGGAGCTGCCTAAGGAACCGCTTTCAGTGGTGCCCGTTGGCTGCAGGGCACCGCAGGCTGCCCCATGCCGTGCAGGGACAGCCTTGCCCTTGTCCCTGCAATGGGGAGCGCTAACCTTTGCTGCCAAAATACCCAACACTCTTCAATAAAGAGAAAATGAAGAGGAAAAAACGCTGCAGGTGTCTCCAGCCGCATGCTAAGCTGCGCAGGGGCACTGCGCCCCTCTGCAGATGCCACCACATGAGACGGTGCCCGCAGCCACTGTCCCCGCTTTGGGGGTGAGGGCACCCACCTAGAGTGTGACACCGCTACCAGAGCCTCCCTGCACTCCTCGTCCAGGGTGACAACGTGGGCTCCCACGTGGTGCCCCATCCCCGGGGGCCACCCAGGCCCACTCGACACCCGTTTTCCCTGTTATTCCTGTTATTAGGAAACCCGCTGCCGAGGAGCACGGCCTTTGACAGGCGGGAGGCCAAGTGACAGCCCCGCGCGCAGCCCCGCCGCCGCCAACACGAGAGGGCCCTTCAAAGCGACA